GATAGATAGATAGATAGATAGATAGAATATGCAGGGTTTAACTGATTTGATTGCTCTTATTTTTAAGCCTTTGCAGCATGTTGGAGTTTGGGGGAAATTTGCTAATTTAGTTATATCCTCTTGTGAAAATTTTATCTTCTTCTTGCGCTTTGTTTTGATAGAATTGAAGCTCTTTGGCAGATCACAGATGTATCATAACTGGGTTTTTGTTCATGTGTGATACAACTGCCTTTATGAATCAAGAATGTAGTCTTCCATTTGCTGATGCACAGGATGTTGCTTACAACTTTTATTTCAGTTTTTGTAATGAATATTGAATGTATGAGGAAAGGGATCTTTCAGCTGAAATTATATTATTCAGGACATCAAGTGTTGTTTTTATTGATAGTCTAGTCATTTTGTGTTTTGTAAGTTTTTCAAGTTCTGTTTTCTCTGCTTGTTCTGTGTGTTTAGTATTTAGTTAATTTAGCTCACTGACTTCAAAAATACCAAACTTGTTTTTACGTTAAATGTCATACTTTACAAGGTAAAATGTATTGCAGGTATTGAACCTGTGACTTTCTTGTTAAAGGGCATTTCTCCCACCCTACTGTTTGGTCTTGTCAGCTCCAGATGTGTGCTGTTCTTAGAAACAAACTGAAATCTGATGTGCAGTGGGCTTTGTTAAATTTGTCACTTTCACATAGGTAACTTTTACGCTAATGTTCCATATGGCTTCACCCACACATTCCCTCAACTGTGACGGAGAGAGCCATGGTGCATGCGTGATATTAGCCATACACTTGAATTTGGAGAGTACATCAAGTGAGGTGGTAGACGAACGCGAATGAGCTCCAGGAGATTTTTTTGTTCTCATGACATACAGTATTACGCGAGTCTGAATGTGGCTCATTGTCTTGTTCTTTAGCACCCTCCGTACACTTTGGTATGCTGTTGTTCTCATATTCTCTGCTGTCTTCTTTCCCTTCTGATCTCTTAGTTCCCATTCAAATTGCTGTCTTTTAGTGCTCTGCATTAATGTTCTCTGTTTCCTCTCTAACAGGATTGCTCATTATTGAGCAGGAATTTGTCAAGCGTGATATCAAGGATTAAGACAAAGTCTTTCTGAAGTGTTCCATTACTGAGCAAATACTCACTACAGAGGCCTTTTAGGGTCAGTTTTCATGGCAGTCATGTCACTGGCTTGAGAACATTGAGTTCCCTATTGCTGTTATCTGTCTGTTAATGCTTAAGTACAGTGCTTGGCAGTGAAAGGGCCACTCTTGCTTAATAGGTGTATGCACTATGGTGCTGTGCTATTTAGGGCCCTCATATTGTTCAGGGTAATAACCATTATGCATAGTCAGTACTGGTAGTTAAGGTTTCATACCCACTCAGGTGCTGTTCAAAATTGTGCTAATGTTTAGTTGCGTTCACACGCTTTTATTCTAGAGTGGTAGATTAAGGACCTTGATCCACGAGGCCAAGGAATATCTGTTCACAGTATATGGTAACACTGAACAATATGAGGCGCACCTGGGTAGTGCTAGTGAGCTCGGTAGAACTAGCAGTACTGGGTTTTATTCATTTGTTGGTAGATAAAATACTGTAATGCTGTGACCTGGCTACAGTGAAATCTTCATCCAAGATGGTGCATCAGTCTCTCTCCTGCCTCTAGTGAGTCACAAATTTATAGTCCGAGTTTAACAAATCTATACCCCACAAAGAAGTGTATAGTGAATAATACTCTAATAGTCTTGGTTTGAGGAGGAGAGCTGGAAAGTGTTTCTTTTCTCTTTATTTTTTTTTGTTCTGTGTTGCTCTGGCTACAAAGTGGCACTAACACTACAGGGGTTTCACTCCTCTTTGGAGCTTTTGTTATACATATGTTGTTTTTTTTTAAGCCACCTAAAATATACAGTGGGTACGGAAAGTATTCAGACCCCCTTAAATTTTTCACTCTTTGTTATATTGCAGCCATATGCTAAAATCATTTGTTCATTTTTTCCTCATTAATGTACACACAGCACCCCATATTGACAGAAAAACACAGAATGTTTGACAGTTTTGCAGATTTATTAAAAAAGAAAAACTGAAATATCACATGGTCATAAGTATTCAGACCCTTTGCTCAGTATTTAGTAGAAGCAGCCTTTGGAGCTAATACATGATAAGATATGAGTGTCACAGCAAAGGGTCTGTTATATTGTATTGGTACTGTATATTGCATAAAGAGTTTTAAAAAGCAGATGACTGTAAATGTGTGACAGTCTGTTTCTTTGTAAGAAGTTATAACAACAAGTAAAGATGGCTTCCACTAAACGCTGTAACACTGAGTCAGTCATTTCCCACCAAACTGGCATAAACATTTACTGTAGTTAAAAGGTCAAGGCAAAGTTTTAGATTTTATATTAACAAAGCAGGTTAAAAGCCAGTGTTATTTTCGTATTAGGGCACAGCTGTGCCAGTTTAATTACTGTGTTCAGTCTCAAACAGCCTGACAGCTGACACTGTGTTTTGTTTTTTTCCCCACATTTGCGGGGACCTGTGATCTGTTTTGTCAAATGCATGGTTCACCATTAAATCTGGTCTTCCCAAAACCATGTGATGTTAGAATAAAGAGACTGAGATTTGTCATACTCTGTGTATCGACTTTACTTTTATTGTAATCCTTTTATCATCTTTTTGTTTTTCATCTGCTTCCATTTTGAGAAAAGGTATTTTGCATGTGGTTTAGTAAGAATTTACTTGTTTCATTTACTTGTTTTCATTGTCATTTTGCATGAATATTTTAACATGATGAATTGTAATTCTATTAGATTAATGTTAATCACACTTACAGTATTACACAGTCATTGGTGAGGTATGTGCGCACTGCAGTTCCCAGAAATTTTATGGCCAGCAGCATATTGCAACACATTTCATCAACAGCATATTGCAACTAATAATAAGAATTCCAAGTCATTAAGCAGAATCAGCAGAAGCAATAAACAATAAATGATACCCAGTTTTATAGGAAACACCAGGGGCTGTTACTTAAAACATCTTTTTCTCTTTCCTCACCATTGTCTCCACTCTCACCTTTACCTTTCATTGTCTTTTTTCCTCTGCCATGATCTCATTTTCTGTTGTGCTCTGTCTGTTCTCAGTGTAGCTAGAAGGGAATCCTGCTAGAGGGATTAGCGGTCTGTCAATGAGGAACTACCGGCTCATCTTCTGCCACAACCTGAAGCAGCCATAGATGGTTCAGTGGTTCACCGGCCAGGGGAGGAGAGGATAGGATACACTTTCACTGCTACACTGTGAGTACACACTGCGCTGTGGTGGGTTGCTTTGTTTATTTCTGTTACACATGGATCCCATACACATGCCTTTGTTGCCTCATGGTTGGTCAACCAGACTATGGCATACACAGAACATAGTTGACAGGAAACAACCAAGAGTTTAAATGTGTCCTTTGGCCAAGTCACTGAATCAACATGAATTATCTACAACTGCTTAAATCTGCTTAATTTTTTTTTATTTATATAGGCTGAAAATTGTACTTGTTCAAGTTGTGATTTTGATATAAAGATAAATTATTCAGCTCTATTCAAAAGCTTATTAACACGGATTTGAATAACTGAATGTCTGCCATCTCCACGGTGAAATTCCTTCCTAGCTCTCACTTTTTTGTCACGTCAGTGTCTTATCAGGCTGATACTATCAGGCTTATCAAGAGAGTAAGAGGAGCAGCAGATAGCCAATCACTTCGAACAAGTAAAGCTTCATTCTTACATTATGTGTTTAGTGTGTTCTTTGTACATGTTGCTGTTATGTAATTTGTCTTGGTTTGACTCTGAAATTAGAAAAATATCTAAAATAGGCTACCTGCAGGACAGTGTGCCTATATCTCTCTGTATTTTTGATGTATTTAGGTAGAATACTTCTCCTTAAAAGGCCACTATCATTTGAGATGTTCTAATTTTTTGGAACAAATCTAGATGAAACTTTCTAATAAACATTTGGTGACGTTCCCCCTCCCCGATGAGTAGACTGGACACCATCTGCCACTGTTTGCATTCAGATTACTCACCAACCAAGCATCATCAAAGTCAAACTGAATAGAAATTACAGCATGTTTCAGAATCTTTAATAGCAGCAACCATTAAATGATGATTATATAACAGACACCTGAACAAGAGGTGTAATGTAAGTGTTATGTAATTTAAACACCTGCTGTATACAGGGGAGATCCTATTGCTACTTTACATAGACTAGACTCTTACTCCATAATCCCCGTCCAACGGCTTCACCACCACTCTGTTACTTTACCTACATCTTAAGTCTGTCTCCTCCTCTTCTTGCTGTGCCTTCCCAGTTACAGGGGAATCTTAACCTCCCTTTTCTTAAACATGGAGCTCATATTTTATAAAAATTACATTTGGCCACTCACACACTCCACCTGTATATATAAACATGTCAGTAGTTTTTGCTGTAAAATGTAAATACGTAAAATGCCTTGATGAATGTTATGTTTGTTTCTTGTTGAAACAGATGTTTTGATGCAATTTTAGGTTCATTTTGGAGTTTGTGTTGCAGTTGAGCTGTATTTTGTTATAATGAGATGTGTGTCTAATAATTATTCTGCTTTGGTGGACAAAATATTACCCTATAATGCAGTAAAACTCAGCACCAATGCACAGCCTCAAAAATAATCATAAGATTTAGTCAACATCTTTCTAAAACGGCTTCGACTAAGACTGAACATTAGAATCTTTGTGGCGGTAATGTTTGTGATAGGGTTGTTGTGTTCAACCGAGTTATTTTTAGCTTGTTCTAATTAGAAAATGAGAAACTGCATGTTTACTCTTGTTCTCCTCCTCTTTCTCCTCCTGTTCTTTCTATTAAGGGAACTAGGGGTAAATGCCTTTGTAGGATAGCTGCTGTCGAATCTCCCTTTCCCCTCCTCCTCTTCCTGTCTTATTTCGATAACAGGAGGGGAGGTTCACAGACATGTAGGGGTGGTATGCTTACTTGTTTGTGAACACCAGAGGTAGAGAGCTTTCTAGTGTCCCTTAATCACTCTTCTTTTTATCTCCTTGGGTTTTTCTATCACATGTTGATTTGAGTTTTCAGCCTTCTTTGGATTAGAACATAGCTGAAGATGAAAAGTGATATTTTATCTTCCACAAAAGCTTTTTGTTCATTATTTCTATCTTACTGTCTGATCTCCCTCTCTCCACTTTCCCTTTCTTTCCGAAGGCCAGCACCACAAGGGTTTTTGGTGTTCCGTTGGAGGAGGTGACACGCACACACACGGTCAGCGGCTACGAGGTTCCTGCACTAGTGAAACACATCGTTGACTACATTGAGGAACACGGTGAGTGACCAAGACACACACACACACACACACACACACACACACATACATACATTTTTTTCCCTTGTATGCATCAGATCTTTTTTTTAAATGGGGTAATAGTAGTGTAAGTATAAATTACACTAATAAGAGTTGTAACTTTTATATTTGTTTTCATAAAATTCACACATCTAAAAATGTGGTTAAAATCAATGCTGATGAGGCCAATGCTGTAATTTCAATCAATATAAAAGTCTAAGAAAAACCTAAAATAGGTATCATGATGCAGTATATTCACATGACTCATACACACCCACATTTTTGGTGATGCAATTATTTGCAAGAAATTGGCTACATATGTTTGAATCAATTGACTGTTAGATAATATTCTTTCTTTTTACTGCTGTTTAAATATAACTGATGAGTCTGTAATAAAGGAAACATTTTTGCTTTTATGTAAATGGATAAAAAAAGACCCTCAAAAGTTTCAAATTGAAAGCAGTGACACCATAGAGCATTGCTATTTGTTTGCATTTATGCTGTAAATGTGCATCTTTCTTTAATTGAATGGCTGCTTTTCCATTAACATGACTAATTTGGCTAACAGTGTCTTGTTTTTCCCCTTAACATGATGGATAATAGTAGCAGGGATTATGTTTCACTGATGTTTTTCTTGGCACATTATGCAGCATTATTAGGTACTTCTTTAAAGCACTTCTTTGAATATGTATACAATAAAATGGACCTGTACTCAGTTCAGTTACTTTACATCTGTAGCCTGACTCAGAGTGATACAGTCATTAAGTAATTATCTAATATTCATAGTGCTGTGTAACTGATGACTTTAGGTTTTAATACCTTACATCCTGTTCAGCACTGATGTTGGGCAGAGCTTTGCATTTTAATGAAGTTCTCTGTTTGACCAAACACAGAAAAATAGTGATGTTTCACAAGGCTTGAAATTTGAAATTGGGAAACTGCATTTATATTTTGAATTCCTCTGTTTGTGGCTCACTCGCCTCTGAACTCCGTTACACATCTATGATGTCTCACTATCCCAAACGCACCCTGCCGCTGTTGAACTGCCCTGACTGCTGTTGCTTCACGATAAACCAAAATATGTGGCGATCCAGTTTTGTGATAAGTTGAACTCTGAGTGTAGTAGCAGACAGCTCCACAGTCAACTTCCTTTTTTATTACACAGCCATTCTATCAACTGCAGTTCCTCTTGTGAAAACAGAGGAGAGGAACCTACCAAAGTACTGGCCTTTTCCCAGGTCCCCCCGGAACATTTCTCTCAAATGTTAGTCTTGTGTTATTATCTTTCAGGTTTCATTCTTCATACTGTGAAGTTTGCAGGGAATAAAAATGGTGAATAAGTATTTCACCAGACAAAAAAAGTTGTTACACCAACTACTCATAGCCAGAATTGATCTGCACTTGGCTGGGAATGGTACTTGCATAGCTCAAACAGCCTTCAGCAGAAACCTAATCAGTCAAAAGATGCATTATTAGTATTAACCCTAGAGAAAGAAATAAACTGAACCCTTTAGATCTGTTGAACCTGCTTACCTAAATCATTCATGTATGGTTTTGTGCAAATTTATTTTAAGTTTCAAATTAGAAGAACTTGCATAGCACATAGATTCATTTGTAGAATTGATTTACATTATTTCATAGTAGAAACAAAAGCTGTAAAAATGTCATCCACAAAATGAAAAGTCAGCAAGTGATTTGCAGTAATTATGAAATTAAAGACAATATTTTGAACATCAATGTGGAATAAAATCTGAACTCGTACAAGTCAGGTCAACAAAACCTTGGGCAGACTGGACAAATCTACATATTATAGAAGGTAATTCAAGTGTGTTAGATAGTCATATCCGTCGTCACTGGTTGTGAAGACCTTTTAATACATCAAGAAAGGACCCCAAGCATGTTTCTGCAGTGAAAAGTATAACAATAGGAAAAAGCTTTTCTAATTTCTTTTCTTAGTCTTTCATTGTGCGGGACTAGCATCTATCTGTTGAAGCAGGTTGGTGGTTCGTGTGACCCAGGAGATGCTTGACCATATGAGGTTATTTAATAAGTTTTTAATCCTTTCAGGCTCTGCTGGGGCATTAATTAGAGCGGTGCTGCAAGTCACCGAAAAAACCTTTAAGTCTCATATTTAAATTGTGTGTGAAAACCTAAGTTTTAGTTGGAGGATGGTGTTGAAAAGCTAAAATGATGGAAGACTGAAAATATGAAAGTTCTTTGCAGTGTGTCAGACCAAACCCATAGAATCTCTGACAGATAAAATATGCTGTATGAAGAGGCATGGCTGCTTTGGCATATATTTTAGAGCATTACATAGGACTGACAGATTTTTAATCAACTCATTATTGGTGGTGTGTGTGGATATCAGTGACCATTATGAAATAGAAAAGTTTATTTATGTGTATTTATGACTGTGGTCATTAATTTTAGTCACAGATTTAACCCTTTTGTCACTATTGCTGCAATTTCACTATCGGAACCTAACGAGCGGTACACCCCGTACTTCCCTTAACCATCACCAAGCATAGCCTCCGGGGTTGACACAGATCGTTATGCTTTGTTTTTCCACTATATTTCCTCTCAGCTGTGTGTTTACACATGGTGCTTGTAATGCTAATGCTTCAGATGTGAAGATGCAGACATTTAGCCAATCACCAGTGACTGCTCTGTGCATAAACAGCCCCTTCCCCATTGTGTTTCTGGTACTTGATTTTAATTACTACCTCCTGAGGGATGCTAAAATCTCAGAGCGCGCCTCCAAAGCGTGCTGAGTGTAGTGGAAACAAATGGAGAACCTATGACAAGTGTTACTCGGCACGACACGTTTTGGTAGGCTCCTATAATGGAAAATCCATTTAATTGTTGTTCTGCTTGTAGTATATTTTGTGGAGTTGGTGGAACTGTTGGACTTAAATATTGTGTTATCTGGTTTGTTAGTGAAAGAGAGATGAAGAGTGAACAGTAGTGAGGAAAAAAATCACCTGGCAGGTGTTTCATAATCCAAGAACTACAACGTTATCACTTAAACATCTTAAAGCATTGCCTGTTGTGTTTCAACACGCCAGTTTGTGGAGCTCCTCATCAGTGGTCATTACGACTAAGAATTACCCACAGTGCAATAGAATTAGCTTCCAATGACAGCAGTGGATGGGAATGGAGAATAAAACAGTTTAGTCCCACCTAATACGTCTGTATGCATCAAACAAAGAGCTTTTCTTATTGTAGAAAAACAACACATTTTGACAATTTGTGTAGCTTTTCCAAACTGACAATTAGACAAGCATGCCAGCTTTATGCAGTGAATGGCCAGGGGAAAGAAATTTCATTCGAAATTTGTTTATTACTTCACATTGCAGTATTTTTCCGTGTTACATGAAGGATTTGCAGGACAAAAGCAGGCCAAGAATAACAGAGTTAATGGTATAGGATTACATGTAGACTAGCATGTGTTGTTATCCATCTTCAGAAATCAGAATTGTAGAATTATATTGCTGTATATACACACTTTATGTATTTTTATATATGATACAGATTTCCCTACCACATCTTAATGCACATTTAAATTTAATTTGTACAAATCAGTAGCTGTTATAGTAGATACCAGCAGCAGTAGGTGTAGCTGCAGGAAACGGAAAAAGGAGATTTGCAGGAGAGTCATGTAGCAACACGGTACATAATACACATGACATTAAACAAGTTAAACAGGTGGTTTGTTATGCAAAGGAGCAAAAATGTCATAAAAAAAAAAATGTTGCAAAACTGGCTCGAGCCCTGACAGGACTTTCTGTCATAATTGGTTTATCCTTTTACGCACAAACACTCAGTGATGTCAGTCTTAAGAATGATAACAGCCATGTGGTCATAGTTTGAATGGTATTAACTCTGATAGTTATGTATTTGAGGGTAGATTTCTGATGGTAAACCCGGTGCTAAACTTTACAAGGTGACGAACAGCATCTTAATGCACTATTAGATCGTGACTCTGAGGCTTGACTTTGTCGTTTGAGAAGAGAGCACAGGTACAGCAGGGTCATCAGATTCTCATTCAAATGATTTCTCATTTGAACGAAGCTTCTGACTATATTTGCATGCACATAGAACAGGCACACAAAATGAGTGCGCTGGTTCAGAGTGTGCCCTGTAGTGTTAGTTTATCAAATATTAATACCTTTGACTAATAGTAATTATTTCTGTATTTGTCATCAGGTCATCTGGACCTAGAGGGGCTCTTCCTCGTTAATGGCAACGCAGAGCGTGTGGAATGGCTGCGTCAGCGCTACGACAACGGTGAGGAGGTGGAGCTAGAGAAGGAGGCAGACCTGGCATCAGCAGTCAGCTTGCTCCGACTCTTTCTGCAGGAACTTCCTGAGCCCATTATCCCAACAGCAATACAAGGACATATACTGCAGCTTCACCAAGGTCTGTGACAGGGACTTTTCCATTTCTAAAGCCATTCTCTATTTATTTATTTATCCATCCATCCTCTCTCTCACCAAAACATTGCTTTTTTAACCTTTCTGAAAGCAGCAGCTAATGTTTGTTGCTTTGTCTTGAGGTCAGTTCATGGAGTTATTTTTGAATGTTGCATGTTTTGCCTTTTTTTGCCAACCTTTTGCACTGTAGCTTTTTTTTTTGTTTTGTTTTTTGGTATTCTCTACTAAACCCTAATGTGGGGCCTAATGGTTTTGCAAATGTACAGGTACCTAAATCAAGGCACAAAATGAGCTGTGACCGTAGGTACGAAGCCCACTATTGTCTGGATTTGTTCGTAGTCTATTTCATGTTTATTAATCTGTTATTACTGTGACCATGTGAGCAGATGCTGGTTATCTTAGCAGTGAATACACAAGCAGAAACCAGCTACAACAGAAACTTTTGTGACTTGTACCTGAATTACCTGTGCGTGTTGGTATATCTGCTATACTGATTTTCTGTCTGTGATACTATCTGCCTGCCTCTGCTGTCCATGCTCTTTCAGAATCAAGTCTTAGGTTCTTAATTTTGCCCCCTTCTATATCAGTTACATTCTTTCAGTTCCTATTTATTCTTTTGTTTGAGCTGATAGTTTTGCAAATTTTGAAAAAGAAGGAAAGATTATCATTTTATTTGCTGGAATTCTGAAATATATTATTAATGGTACTGATAAAAGTTCATTGAAATACAGCCATAAAGGGGGAATTGAATGCACGTTGGTGGACAGTGTATAATCACATGCACAAATCTCTCTCTTCCATATTTGTTCTGTTTGCCCATCTCTTTCTTCTGTTTTGCTTCTGTTTCTATCACAGATAATCTGTTCTGATCCTCTTGTCAGGATGATGGCTGTTCCTGTCACTGTCATGCAGACAGTGGGGGTGCTTTTACAGACTTTCCATGTCATGCGTTTCATTTCACATTGTATTTTATAATAGTGCTACTATGATGCATAAAGGATTATTAATGCAGTTTCCTGTTTCACCTCACTTCAACTCTCCCAGAGGATTAAGCATAATCTTACATGTCTACATACTTTCTCCAGATAAGACTTGTTAGAGTCAACATTGAGGAAACACAGGACCTGATAATCCATAATTCAACAGGCAACGCGTTGTTCTTTTTGATATTATGATCACAAGCCAGCGCCCTTTTCCAGTCAAAATAATTACAGTAATAAGAGAGAAAAAGATGTTGATGGCAGTGAAGGTTATTAAATGTAAATAGTCATATGTACTAATAAAAAGAAATGTATTTTTAAATATTCCCAGATTACAGCAATGAGGCAGAGCTGTGTAGAAACTTGAAGTACCTGCTGCAGCAGCTTCCCCAGCTGAACTACGGTCTACTGCGTTTTCTGTGCCGCTTTCTGGCCAGCGTGGCATCGCTTCAGCAG